GGGGGGGGGGGGGGACAGTGGGTGCAGAGATGGGGCGGGTCGTCTATCCAGCAACCCCACTCAGCCTACCATCGAGGTGAGGAGTTTCTCCGCCCAATCTGCACCACTCTGGCCCGGATCATCCTGCCGTGCACCCGCTTGGACTCTCCCTCCACCTCGGCTCTTGCCAGCCGATGGCAGCGTCCTCACGTTGGACGAAGTAGCGCCTTTGCTCGCCCGCATTGTCTTCGGCGGCTGGGCGGTCGACATTGCCTGTTGACCCTCTGATGTTTTGAGATAACATCACACCACTCTTCACGAAGACAAGTGTGGTTGCGAAGGCTGTCTCACTGAGGTCATTCTTCTGGACGAGAAGCGTGTCATTGTCCACAAATAGGTTCTTGAGCGGCTCTCCCTCCGGATCCTCCATGGCCTTGGGCGGAAAACCCTGGAGTACTGCACCAGCCATATGCAGGAACACGACGGTTGTGTCATCAAGTTGGTTGCGTGGCGTGCTGCAACCCACTCGTGAAGGCTCCTTTCTCCATCCCCGTTGCTTTGCACACTACACATACATACATCAAGAACACATACCCAGATCAGATCTCATCCATCCGCACTACCTTCATCTTGCAGTGTGTCGAAACCCGCCTCCTGATCAACGATCACATCCACTGTCCCAGAGGGACTCTTCAACCGGAGCTTCATCCTTCTCCCTCTCACTTTGTCCGTTTCACGGGCAGAATGACACAAACTAAGAATCGATATGGCGAGCTTTAGCGGAGCTCGCGGCGAGGAACTTGTGTCTTCCCCCCCCCTTGATGGATGCAGACGAGAGCTTAACGCGTCTCTGTCTCTCGCTACGTGTCTCTATTGCCAAACAGCATATACCTTTACGTGCGCATGATGCTATTCACGTCGAAAAACTGTGCGGCACACGCCCAGATCAGAGAAAGAAGGAAAGAAAGAAGTACAAAGGACTACACGCAGATCTTGGATATTGTGGTACAATGAATATCAGTTTCGATTGAGACATGGAAATTTTCAATTGACACCACCTCACCCACAACAACCACACACTTTCATGTCTCTTGTCTCAATTCTCAGCACGCACCGGGTCGACACACATAACTCCTGTCAGATCCCGACAGATCCCGACACTGTGTGGCGGTGAGAGTGCTCCGCTGAGACTCGTCAATAAGCTGGTTCATCTTGATAATAATCTGGTCGATGCCCATTGCACTTCTGAGCGTTGCTCCTCTCTCTCTCTTTCGTTTGCGTGTCCTGCAGGCTGTGATTTGCCAGAATATTAGCTGCAGATTTCCATTGTAGAGAAGATGTGTGTTAGGCAGCTCGAGCCCAAGTGGAAATCCTCGAGGTAAGAGGAAGACACTATCTCGCTTCCACAGACAAGAATTCAGACACGAGAATTCAGACACAAGAATTCAGACACAAGAATTCAGACAAAAAGGAGCCTGCTACATATATCATGTCAGGAATGGCCACAATGAGGACTCGTACACGGTCGCGGGCTCCGTGAAGGAGAAGAAGACGGTATGTAGGAAGCAGTGAGGCCACCTCACGTCCACTCCCTATGGCTGTCTTTGCCTTCCTTCTTCTTCGCATGGTGAACGCGAACTTCTACCGTTCGGCCAACCAGAGAGAGGCACTCGGGAACTGCGGCAACGCTGTCCAAGACGCTGGCGACTGCCCAAGACGCGCTACGGGGACCCCGACAAAAGGTGATTCTCATTCGCATCATCCGCTGTGTTGGGCATGATCCGGTGTCTCCCGCATGTTCCACAGGGTGAGCGCTGCGGCAAGAGCGGTCGGTGGTTCAGAAAGAAGGACTAAAGGGTTTAAGCTGCCGGCTCAGGTGGCAGGGAAGGGATGTCAGGACGTGCATTTACACCGTGCAGGGGATTTAGAGTATCCTTTTCGGACGAAGGGATCCCTGCTCAAGGCCCTTCGTGCTACCAAGGCCCCCTAGTGCACGAAACATTCTCAAAGGTGTTGAGGGCTTCAACTGGTTGCGGAGCGAGTTGCATGCAGTAGTCGTCTTAACTGCTGGTTTCTCCATCATCTTGATTTACTTATGAAACATCTTGCCTGCACATGTATCGACTCCAGGCACATCATGGTGCCGCACTCGATCTCAACGCGCACGGTCTGTCTCGCCGTCATTTTTCCTGCCCGGCACAATCTTCTTCATTTTCCTGCCTGGTTACACTCGCTCTGCATTGATTGACATACAAATTGACGCCATGATTGACATACAGATTGAAGAGGAGGATGGGCAAGACGAGATTGCGCCGCTTGCAGTTTTCTGCAGAGATTTTCTCGCTGGAAGGAAACAGCGGCGCTGGTTAGTTTCGAAACACCGAGACTCTTTCTCACCATCGATCGTTCGGATACTTTTTTTCCATCGCTGACTTTCTTCATAATCCTTTTCTTTTTACTCTTTTCTTTTCTTTTCTACGCTATCTCTCTCTCTCCTCCAAACGGTCTCCTACAGCCAAAGGCTGCTCGAATTGCCATTCCTCGTGGAAGATTTCTGGCTTATATGACATATGTGCGCACGTCATTTTTGGACAGTTACAAGTTGCTGAAACAAGCTGAAGTACCAGGCAAGAAAGGGTGAATCCGGGACAAACAAGCATCTCGGAGATCCATCTCGCAAAATCCTAAACAAAGCTACCAGATTGATAAAGCCGTAGATCTTTCGAAAACAGCTTTCGCTGACAATGAGCGCCCCAAAGATGACACTTCCTATCACCGGTTCATTTCTCTTCGACAGACTTTGGTCAAGAATTCGTCTTGATTGAGACGAAAAGCAAGCATTCATACAGGTTGTCTCTCGCTGCTTTTTGCATGTATGTTCGTCATGTCTGATTCGAGCGTGTGTGGCTTCTAATTTCAGCATCTGGCGAAATTGAGCGCTCTATCATGTCTCATGATTAATTGATCCATTGGTGCATTAAATGACTCTCAAGTATCTGATTCATCGACCGAAGCTTGTCGACCACCGTTGGATCGCGCGCTGACCGCTTGACTGGAGGCCTGAACAGGTAATCGTTGGTCTGTCTGTCTGCCAGGTCGTCGTTTCAATCGTTGGTCTACAGGGACCAGAGGCCACGAAAAACAAGAATGCACCTTGCAGCTAGCTTAAGTGCGACTCACAATGGCGGCGCCAACTTTCTTCTCTCCTCTGAGCTCACTATTGCGGAGTGTCCAGCAAGCTAGCGGGCTGGGGAAAACAGCACCTCTACCTTTCACTTTGGCCAAGATACTTTGCCGAGAACTCCTAAGAACCACGGTTCTAGTCTGGGTGACAACCTCTTCAGGGGGAGAGAAATGAGATGCATCAACCCTGCCACGTTCTTGACGTGTGCAAACAAAAACGAAGACGAACTTTCCTACACTTCATGCTACATTTGTCGGAGCCACGATGCAACGCTGACGACGTGAAGCGTGAAGAGGGACGGGCACAATCCGCGGAGTGATCAAAGGCAACGTCAACGATTTCAGTACTGATTGCGTTTATGTTTTCAATTGGAATTGGTCCCTGCTGTTTAATTCAGGTCACAAGTGAATACGCCCTGCGTCGAAACAGTTATTGACACAAATGCATGGAAGTGTCAACGTAATCGAGAAGAACGTGCGATTGTCACATCGGATCACATCGGATAAACACCCAGGCGAATCTACCCAAGCCGCATGACATCCGAGAGAGGTTGACCCGAATCCGCGGGAGTGCTCTTCGTGTACCTGAAAAAGCCGGGGGGCACAAGACAGCAACCAGAAACGGTGCAAGCTGCCATCCAAGACTTACTTTTCCATGAGCTGAGCCATTTTCTGTTTGTGCTCAAGTGACGGTTCTTTTCTGTCTGCAATACGGTCGGAAAAAACAATGAGCGATCGGCCTCTTCGTTTGACTTCATTGCCAATCGAGCATACCCTCTTGTTCGGGAGATGGGCTGCGCCTTTTATCCTCGTCCCTGGGCTGTCGATTTGGGCTTGGTGAACTGTTCTCAAGAAGTGCACAACAGACACATTGCAAGAATCCGTTTGATCGTCTGTGTCTTTCGGCAGGAAGAAAAGTGTACCGGGACTTCTTGCGAGTCGACTGGAGGATTTTTGCGGAGAGGGCAGACTTGTAGGATGTCGGCCGTCTGCACGAAATCGATGGAAATGACCGTAGAGCATAGACAGCAAAGGGAGACAGATAAGAAAACAGTTCAACCGCCCTCAATATACTTGATTCTCTTCACCTGGCGTAGTCCTTCCCGCTCGCAAGTGCCTTGTTTCGTTCACGTTTCCGAAACTCTTCCATCAACTCCTCGTTTGTCTGAAAGGCAGCATGTCAGTTGCCAGGCCTAGTGGTGTGAATAACTGGACGCGGTATCCCTTCTACCGCCCTTTTATACCTTTGGGCGGTCACGGTCCGATCTCTCTCGGTCTTTTTCGTCCCAGTCGCGCCAGTCTCGTTTCGATCCTCTGTCCCTGTCCCTACTGCGGCTCCTTTCTCTCTTCACTCGCCGATATTCCGGCTCTCCCGAACCACTGCGGCTGCGGGCATGGTGGTCACGTCTGATTTCACGCAATGGTCGGACTTCTGTGCATGTAGGGAGAACAATGCATTTGTCGAACCTTCGTCGATCGCGTTCCACGTGTCTGCCGCGGCCATCGTCAAACTCCTCCGAAGGGGACCTGAGCGGCAGGCGTGGGTAATATATGCCTTTGTTTGTCCAATACTGTTGCCACACCTTCGTCGTCGACTCGCGTCTTCGCGGCGACGCCTTTCCCCGTCTCTCTCTTTCCTCTTCTCGTGATGGTCACTACAAGTTACAAAGTCAGCTTGATGCATTCTATAAAAACAGAAAAGAAATTCGAAGCTTGCCTCTCCTGCTTGCGCCGGTCCTGCCTGTCTTCTGACTTCGATGCACTGCGTGACCGCGAGTACCGGACATCGTACTTCCTGTCCTTGAGATTCCCCCGCTCGTCGTTACGTCTCCCATCGTCTTCTCTTGGTGCACTTTCATCAATTTCGGCATCAGCAGGACCATTGTCTCCCAAAGCGTCTTCCTCCTCGTCTCTACAAAACACGTTGGAGGGGACGACTCATACTTGCAAAATCTCCTGTTCGGACAGAAGGCCTTACGTTCGCAAGATGACGAGCCCGAGATCGATTGTCTCCTCCGAACCATCTTCCAGCGCAACTAGACAGGATAGGCGGCCAGCATTCTTGTCAATCACCCTCACGACTGCCCCTTCCAGCCAGTCCCCGCTGCAAAATAGCGCAGCCACATTGCCTTTTCCCTTTTTTTTAAAAAGGGAGCAAATTGCTGATATCTTCTCACTTGGAGCAGGCATCCACCTTCGTTCCCGGCACAAATTCTTCGATTCTCTGCTTGTTGGACTTCTTCCGCTTCCGGTGCTCATCCATCGCGATTAGCTGTCAAGAAACAAAACATGAGAGGACGTCATGCGAAAGGGCCTTAGTAGTAACAATCGTCAAAAACCTGTGCGCCATATTGCGTCTTGATCTTCACAGGCAGCCTCGGCAGGACTGCACCAACAACGATTCCGAGACGTGAAAAGCGTCTCTGGTTGTACGTCTCCGTGTACCTGTGGAGCTGTGTGAGCCGTACTTGTCCTCGGTAATCAGGCTCTCAACAAACTGCCCCATCTCCCTGAGGCAGTTGAGAAGAAAGCGACCGTGGACCGAAGAATTTGTTTCTTCGTATTTTCCAGGTCCGTACATCTTTTTGTTTTTGTCAGTGCCTGGAGCGAACTCTTCGTCGTCCAAGAAGTACGGCTCGTACCACTTCCACAGCTTCTGAGGATCCAGAATGTATCGCAGGTACAAGAACCCACAAGCGCGGATGTACGGCGAGTCTTGATGATCCAGAAGGCTCTTGACCTGTTGTTCACGAGACGCACCGTTGTAGAGTTCACGAGAATCCCAGTGCTCACCTGTTTTTCCGTAAGCCGCATCGTAAAGAACTTGTACAAACAGCAGAAGAGCGTGGATGGCGCCCGAGAGTTGCCCGCACAGTAAGGGTCTGAGGCAATGTAGGCGCCACAGATGGCATCAACGCACGGGAGAAAGACGTCAGTTGTTACCTGCGTGATCTGCATATTGGTAGATCTGAGACATATGGTAACGAAAGGAGATGTGCAGAAACACGTGTCATGTGTTCTCTGACCGGCCACTCACCTCGTCCACGACTTCATGAAACTGCTTGAGAGCGAATAGGCTCTTGTAGTACTCGGAACTGAGGATGTTCTCGCGCAGCAGGGTGTTCAAATTGAACGTGGTTGGATTTGTCCTGACACAGCCGGAATGAAACAACGAAATGGCTGCTAGTATGCACACGAAGTCGTTCGTGCGACGTACATTTCAACCATGTTTGGCTTTTCCAGCGAGTCGGACTGAGCCTCCTGCTGACGCTGCACCCTGCCAAGCTGGTGCTGATGGTGCACAACAACCAAAGAAACTCGGTGCCTCTTTCCTCATGTCATGTAACCGCTTACCACAGCAGTTTTGTACTTTCGACAGAATTTGCACGACAGCTGCGGCTTCGTGTGCAGATGGCACCTCAGAATCTCAGGCTCTTCCTGTAGGTAACCAGTCGATTGCTGCGCACCCATGGCACTGCCTGCACTTCCTATACCCATCGCGCCAACAGCATCAACCATGGGAGCGTATGCCGCCCCCTGAGTCGCGACGGGAGCTGTCTCTTGCTGTGCTGGCGGAAGCTGGCTTGCCGTAGGGACGCTTGGGCCAGAGTTCTCGTTCGGAGCCGCGTCGTATGGTGACTCACCCCATGCAGCTGCGCAGCACATAGTCAATAGACAAAGGATGACAAGAGTCTGCTAAAGCTCTTTCCTCACTTACCCGCGTTATACACCCCAAATGCTTGCTGCTGTGAAGACGTGACTGCAGGAGCGACACTAGCCTCCACAGGCTGCTGACCGCTTGCAGGAACAGGTTGGGCGCCGGTTGCAGCCTGTTGTTGCTGAAGCGGTGCTTGCATCGACATGTATGCTTGTTGAATGGGGAAGGGGTAAGGCCACGGCCACGGCAGCATCTTTGCTATTGCTTCACTCACAGGGTGTAGATGTTTCAGCCTAGAATGTGAAACAAGAAACCGCATTCGGTGGAACGGCTGCGCGTTTGGCCACCATGATGCTAGCGCTCAGTTACGACTAAGATAACGAGTTCTCTGCGAGCTGCATCTGCAGCTAAGCTCGCATGAGAAGGAGGATCGGATCGCAGAATATCCACAGAGCGTGCACCGCTGGTCTCTTCAAGACTGTCTTTGGCAGTGGGAATGGACGTCGACAATTGGTATCTCTCCGAGACGGTCTCAGGCTTTGCAAACAACTTACTGGTGAGCAAATGAGGTGTGAAAGCGTCCGGATATTTGGATCTGCGCCATCCGTTTCCTCCTTCTATCAGACATTCGAGATAGTGAGCGTGCCAAAGCCCATTCCACGACGCTGGGTCGAGGATGCGCCAAGTAGGGAAGTCATGCTAACGCTGCTGCTGCGCACTGTATTATCCGTGTGTACGATTGCTCCTCCTAGTTGAAGATTTGGCTGATCTTGAGGTGGAGGTCGCTGACGAGAAGGCCCTGTTGGACGAGCCTTCTGCTGGCCTCTTTGGCGCAGGCGCGCTGGCAGCAGATCCGTGCCGGCCTTCGGACGCCCCGTCTCAACGCGAGAAGGAGAAGGAGTTGGGGGCTCAGAGCGATAGGAGGCGCTCTGCTCCTTTACCCTTAGCCAAGGCGCTGAGTGGAGAGGAGACCAAAAACGAGCTGGGTGAGACAGCCTGAATGGATCAGTGTTAGGTAATGTGTGTGTCTGTTCAATCAGCGCCTGGTTTTTCTGAGGAGGATGGCAAGGACGCGCTGGAGAAGGCCCGAATTCGTCTCGGTCTGGGCCCGCCTCGCATGATGTCCCAACCACGGAGAGACGCAACGGATGGTGATGCAGAAGATGACATGGATGATGTACCGGTCGGGGAAGAACCTGTTCTGTGCCTTGATCGTCCCGATTTGGAGCGTTGGTCCAAGAACGATCTGGAAAGAGAGAAGAAACAAGTGAAGAGGTACACAGGCAGGCAGGGGGGCGAGGAAGTACGCGGACAGGCAGGCAAGGCTAGCAGCCAGGAAGGTAGTGGAGCCCCAGCTGGTACCGAGAGGATTGGCTTTCTCGTTCCTGTTGTCAGCGAGCTCAAGAAATATGACACCGCCTTCGAGTCGGCTTATGGAAGGCTGGTAGAACAAGGAGCGGTCACATTGTGACGACTTGACAGTCTACTCATTGGTTGGATGCATGTGTCCGTCGCTGCAGCCGAATCGGAAGGAGAAGGAGCCCATGCGTCCCCTGTATTGCTACTATCGCAAGCTGAAGGCAATGATCGGCAACGTGTCGACCTCCCGTCAGGGGTACGCCCTCAGCCAGAGGAGCTCCCGCGATCGGCGAGCCACTCCATCCTCGCAGCAACAGCAGGGGGGCGCCAAAAGCGGGTCGGCCGTCAGTGGGCGGTCAGAGGTACCGCTGAGCGAGGTACCCTCGTCAAGGGGCGACTCAGCTCAGGACCTAGGCGAGTCGGGCGCCAGGGCACCGCGGCACCGAGAGCCAGCTCGGCAACAAGGGGTGGATGTTCCCGCTGCGTCGAGCAACAACGACGAGGGGGAGCGCTACAGGCAGCGGCTGGACCAGCTATATCGTGAGAAGACTCGCCTGCGTCACGTGCTACAGGTAGCCACACACACACCGACGGCAGGGAATAGAGGACACATCGTGTAACGGCTTCAACTGATTCAGAAATATCAGACCAAGTTCATGGCGGAGAACTCGCGCAAAATCCGCTTCCACAAGGACATTCTGCCGATCGAACGAGTAAGCGAACGGATGGTGGGGTGTGCGCGGCACACGAGCACTCAGATGGACTGCGAACCGTGTCTGGGGTGCCTTTATGCAGGAGTACAAGTGCTACAAGCAGTGTAAACAAGAGATTCAGCGGCTGACGTCGCTCTTGGGGACGTCTGGCAGTGCAGAAGCGGTCTCTGATGTCGACTGATGCTGGTTTCAATCCTTGCACGATTAGCTGAGTTGTGCCAAGAGTCCGTGTGCATCACATGGACACGATGTCTCTCGGCAGAAAGGAAAGGTCTGTCTCTGTCCTAACAGAAAGAGCCTAGGCCTGGTGCACAACATCCGTACACAGACGTGCAGGTGAATTACACAGACTGTATGTACATACGTACACACTCCTGACTACACAAGACAGACAGACAGACAGTCAGTCATATGTACACGTGGCTGACAAATATACGCAGTGATGAATGAATGGTGAGTGGATGAATGAATGGTGAATGAATGCATGATCCGTCATGGTTAAATCCATTCCCGCCCACACCCATTTCCACCCTCCCACCCACCCGCCGCCCGCCCGCCCAGACGCAGAGCTATCGTCCGAAGGGGCTACCCACGGCAGACGGAATGCGCTGCATGGTGTCGTTTAAGCCCAGAATAGCCCGTTCCACGTCGTCGATGTCAGGGCCTATTTGGGGTAGTATAAAGTTAGCTGAGAGACACAGACAGACACCATACCCATGAGGGGGGCCCGTGTCGTTATTCGTTCATTGCTTGGAGGAAGGAGGTGTCGTTGCCCCGTGTGTGCGTGCATACCGGGGATGACTTGGCTTTCCCATATGTATGTGAACTGAGTGACACGCACCAGGGAATGGGGAGACAAATGGGCGAGTGAATGAGGGCGTTCGTCAGCTTACCTTGCCCACAGTGATGGAGTAGAGGAAGAGTCTATTGCCCTCGTCCTCTATGAAGTCAAAACCTACACCCACGTCTTCTGTCTCCACCTCAAACGAGGCCTCAGGAATGCCATCGTTCCCCACACCTACACAAACACACATGCCAGACGGAGCGTCCCTCACACGGACGGCGCCAGTCCCCCATCCCCAGCCAACACTCGTCGGCAACACTTACCAGCACCCGCAGACACGTACGCCGTGCCTGCAACAGACCAATGTCAACCAATCAGTGCCACCCCGGTTTGCACACACCCATCCATCCCTCGTGAGATCGTCGCCAAGCGTGCATTGCTTTTCTGCTTACCCAGGCGGCCATATCCCACTTGGATATAGACCTCCTCACTGAGCCAGAGCAGACGACCCCAGAGACACAAACAAGGATGAGTGGTGATGTGTCGCTGTGAGAGCAACCAGCCCAGCTGGAGCTGCCTTTTTGGTGTCTCTTCACCTCCGATTGTCCACGAAATCTGCACGGCAGGTGGCAAGCAACACACGACAGCGAGCATGGCATCCAGTGATGGATGATGCAGTGGCGTTAGCGCCCCTACCTCCGTTGAGCAATAACTGCCACCCATCGCCCCAGTTCCCTGCACACGAATCGAGCGGTGGAAGCAACCAGGTAGGAAAGAAGAATGGATGTGCTGCCACTGAGCTGCCTGACCGTCATCGGCGGGCAAATCTGTGCGTCTGACTGACCTTGGAAGTCTGTCTCCCGCTCGTCAAAGTCACGGAGCACACTGAACTGGTATCCGAGCACCCCCGCACTCACCGCAACCTCAGTGTCGCTGTCACGACCATTCACAAGGCATAGATGATGGATGGCGTGTGCTGTATGCCTGTGCGCGCAGGGTCTGTCCTCTTTGCCTCTGTCCTTTCTAGGTAGGACCCTCACTCACTTGAGGTCGGTTCCGACGGCAACTCCGATGGACTTGTAGCCAACGAATACCTCCGTGGCCAGCTCCTCATCATCACCAGTCTGCGCAGCAAGCAAAGCAAGAGGCGCACGCCACCCGCAAGCCCGTCGGTCCTGTGCTTGTACTGCACTGTGGGTGAGTACAGTACGTACGTACGTACCGTCGGGTCTTGGGTGTCCTCGAAGTCGTGTCTGACGGCCACTTCAGTGTTGCGCACCTTCACACGCTGACCGTAGTCCTCGTCGCGAAGGTCCACCAAAGTGCCGGACGAGACGCCACGGGCAACAACTGGTGGATTGATGATTGGATGCATGGTTCGATGGATGACAGGCACACAGGCGGTCAGACGCACAGCACACACACATGCAGACAGACATGCGTCGTCCGTGAATGTGTGAGTACGTACCCAAAACGTTGGTGGCCGGGTCATCAAAATCTCGATCGACCCTGACACCTGCCCACATAGAATACACGCAGAGAAGGCTCTGCTGCATTGCATCCATCTGTCACGTTCGACGGCGCGCTCACCGTATGCTCCGTATGTGACTCCGACCCCTCCCTCCAGGTCCTGCTCATCGGTAGAGACGGACACGGCCAACTTGCCCCACTCGGTGTCCACTTGTGTCTCACGGTACAAGGCACCAACACCCACACTGACCAACGCACACACACACACACACTTGTTGTTTGGCCCTCCTTCCCTGACTGAGCCAGTCCGTCACGAGTGAGGGGTTGGCTCACTCACCCGACGCCTCCGAAGTCGTTTCCGACTCGGACAACTGTTTGTTGTTCGCCACGGTCCCTGCCCCAGTTGACGCGCCAGTTGTCGTACACGATGTTGTTGGCCAACTGGTTGAACACGCCGTCATTCATACCAGCGAATGGCTCTGCCGCGGCCTGATGCATGAATGGATGGATGACACACGCATGAACAGCCACACACAAGGAACAAGCGCCATGCGCGTGACGGTCCTGTCCCATCCCTCCCTCCCTGCATCTATATCGTACATACCGCATCGGCAAAGAGTTGGTCAACGGCGTTGAGCTGCACTGGGGCCCTGCCGCCCTCGGCCTCCGTGGCTGCACTCCAGGCGTCGTTGTTGGCGGGCCCCGTCTGCGATGACACGGGCACAGCGGCCCCGGGGCCGGCCTGCTGCCGTGCATATGCGCTGGCAGCCTCAGCGAGGGCATCAGGGTGGGGCTGGCGGAACTCTTTCGATCCACCAAGCTGCTCCTTCCCCTCCTGAGCAAAGTGGCCCCCCGTGAAAGACACGCCCTTGTTGAATGACTCCCTGTCGATGGGTTTGTTGAATCCGCCCTGGCCGCCCAGTCTGCTGCCGATTCCCCGCTGTGCCCTGCCCCCACTGCGGCTCGACGTTGACACGCCGGCGCCAGCTGACGTGGCTGTGGTGGCCCCTCCGCCGAATGATTGGCCTGACGTGCCAGCACTGGACGAAAAGGCGTTGGACGGGCTGTTCCGGGCCGGCACGACGCGACCAAGGGACACGTCCTCGAACGGGTCCTCTAATGTGTCCTGCCCACGTCCAGCGATGCCCCTTGCCTGGAAGAATTGGTCCGCTTGCCTGCCCAAGGCCGCGAGCACTGGGGGTGCGATCGTGGCTGCACCGCCCGGCGCCTGGAGGGGTCGAGCGCCTCCGATCGTGGGAGCACCGCCCGGCCCCGTCAAAAGAGCATCAACGGGCGCAGCCGGAGCTGGGGCTGTTAAAGCTGGCGGGAGAGCAACAGGTGGAGCCAGTCCCGGGGGAGCGCCGACGATAGGACCCTCCCCGGCGACGCCCCCCTCCTGCAGCGCCACAGCCATCGAGTCGGAGTCACCTTGGCGGCTGGCGGTCCTGGGATCAAGGAACCCCCCCGTCTCGATTGATGAAGACGACGACGGCTGGCGTTGGCTGTTCCACCGTGACGACCACACGGAGGCGTCTGAGGCAGCGTCCGACCGGGCCAGCCTGCGGGTGGGCCGGCCGATGTCGCCATCGCTGACGGTAGGCCCGGTCTCGTTGAGCTGGCCGCCGCCGGCGGTGGTGGCACCTGTCGTGTTGGAGTGAGTCACCACGCCATTCGGCTGCGCCTCCGGCCGCGTGCGAGACCTCTGCAGTGCAGCAGCGATACACAGATACCACAAAGACACATGGACATCGTGTGGTACTCCTTGCTCCTCGCTCTGTTTGGTTGACTCTCGTTCGTTGACCCCACCGCCGGTCGTACCGTGGCCTTTGTGTTCCAGTTGTGTAATTTGTTTTTCAAGTTGCACATGAAGGTCTCGTTGACCTTGGTGGGGAAGACGATCATGTGGCACCGCACAGTGATGGCCAGGGAGTTGTTGAAGCCCATCGGGGGCCAGGAGAAAGTGATGCGGCCCGCTTCATTCCCACGAGTGGCTGAGTCGTGAACCTAAGGTGACCGATAGATACCACACAGACAGGCATCAAGGTACGTACATCCAGCACGGTCGGTGGTTTGGCAGGTGAATGAATGGTATGGGCAGTGCAGTGGTGCATGTGATGATACATACGAGTGTCCATCCGCTCACTCCTTGATCGGTTCGGTTCACCCATCCATTCATTCATTTCTCACCTGGAAGAAGTCTCCGTCTGTGTGTGGGTCCCAGTCTGGCGGGACGATGGGACATCCGTCGACGATGAGGTCGATAGGGTGGCAGGAGTTTGTGGGGGCTGGGTGTGTCTGATTGGAGCACGTGGCCTCACACGACATCGGCCACGGGTAACCATCCACACCGAACACCCGAGACTCGAACACCAACCTACAGCAGCACACCATACATACATACATACGTGTCGACGGGCTCTCTGTCGTCACGGCTTTCCCTTCAGGCCCCTTGTATGTCGTGCGTCCGCCCCTACCTGTCATCGTTTGCCACAGTCGTCCTCAGCTCTTCTCCCACCGCATACTCAGCAGATAGGTGGTGACCCAGAGCCGTCGCTGAAAAAATGAAGACACACCCACACAGTACAATGAATGCGGTACACGTCGCTCGCATCTCTCTGGTTGTCTGTCTGTCTGTCTATGTTGGTTGGGGGGCCCCCTCGCCTCGCCTCGCCTGGCCCCACGCCTTCCCGCCCTCCCGGCTCGCTGTGTCTGTGTCCGTCCGTTTGTAGGCTGCGTACTCCCGTACCTGACATGGCCGAGATGGGTTCCCTGCCCTCGTAGACGGCCGATGCTTGCGCCGAGGCCTCCCACTTGGCGTGTGGCGTACAGACCGACTGATCGCCCCCCCTTGCATCCCACCCCAGCGTCTCGTTGCCCTCCCGCAACGTGGCCGCGAGTATGTCTTTGTCGCAGGCACACGTGATGACAGCATTGTTGCGGGGCCCCACCGCCCGCATAATGCTGGTGTAGTAGATGAAGCCGTTGGTCTCGGACGAGGCCATGCTGGGGTCACTGTAGGGGCAGCTGGCCAGGAGTGCGTCCCTCCCCTTGCCGAAGAAGTCCTTGACAAACGACGCACCGCACCTCTTGTCGGCCCCCCTGAAGGAGCCCAGCGACCCGTCCCACGTCCCAGTCCGATTCGAGGCGGTCTTGTTGACGGTGGACAGAAAGTCAGAGGGCACGGGAATCGCACCCGTCATGCGCCGATCAGAACACCTGCAAGGGACGGACGGACGGACGAGAATGCAACGACACGACACACAGGAACGTTGTGGATGGCTGTGAGTGATTCCGATTCTCATAGTGAGTGAGTGTGGTGTGTGCGTTGTGTGGCTGGCTGACCATGCTGCGGGAGGGAAGGCCTTTGGCATCATGCCCCGGTCCTTGAGCCAGAAGGAAGCCGACGGGCGGCCCCGTCGCCTTTTTCGACGATGTGCGGCCCGTCGGTCCTTGAGCCGCCCCTTGTCCCCACCATGCCCCCTCTTGCCCTCGTGCGTCTTGCGAGGCCGCCTCTTCCTGTCCGTCTTGAGCTGACGGGGTTGGTCATCCGGCGGCCTCTGCATCTGCAGCAGCCTGTCGGCATCAATTCTGCATCCCATCGCTGGTTGTCCCCCTTCCCCCCCATGGCCCCCTGCACCGCTCATTCCACAGTCCAGGGCGGTCGGACGAGGGAAACGATCAAGAGACAAAGACCGGTGGCCTCCAGTCGAATACGTCACTAGTGTTGCGTGGCTGGACAAGTGCTGGTCAGTCGGATCAACAGTCTCGTTGGCTGCTCGCCTGGGCCGGTCGAACGTCACAGAGGAGCTAACAGCGGCAGTAGCGGGCGGCGTCGTGATCAGCAGCGGCACCACCAGTAGCGCCAGTAGCGGCAGCAAGAGGGGGCACCCGTACCGCCGTGACCGTGAGCAGGCTTCCCCCCCAGCATAGTGTCGATACATCCATGAAAGGACGGCAGCCAGGACCGGTCTCACGAGAAGAGCCACGGAGGGGCCCTCTCTAACATGGGAGGAGGCAGGATAGGAGCTCCACCACACCCACACAAACCCACCACCTACACGCTGCCGCCTCGCTCGTCAACACAGATGACTAGCAATGTATCGATGGCACCGCATCGGCCGTCCTATGCGCCGGGAAGTGAGGGAGAAAAGAAAACCGCAACAGCAAAAAGCCGGCGGCGTGGGACTCTCTGCGGCGGGCAGTCTTGCCACGCTCCGTGTCCTCTTCGTGTGTTCTTCAGCAAAGCTGTCGATTTCGCATACACATGCAGGCGTTGGGCGTCACCGTAAATGTTCGGTAAATTTGCGACCAAGGGTTCGTGGTTGGCACGGGAAGCCGCTTGGCATTGGTGCATTCGTGTCCGCGTTCGTTTGGTGCATGCCTTGTTGTGTGTGCTTGTGTATATGCACGTGGACGTCGCATTCATTCATATCCATCATGCAATGTCTGCGTATCGATCAGGTCGACAAACCTATGACAGGCCACTGTCCTGTCACACACCACACATCGCGTAAACCACACGGTCATGTCATGAAGACCGACACACATACACTGCGATCCACACACACTCACGCACTGACACAGAGGGGCAGAACCAACGCAAAGCCCTGCACCAACGAGCATCCACAGCGGGCTGGATGGAGGGGTGTGTATGTGCGCGTGTGTTGGGTCAGCTGAGTAGAGTCTCACAACCACACCCTCTCCTTTTTGAAGGACGGCTAGAGTTTGTAGCGAAGGAGGTAACGGCGTCTCGCAGCCCAGGCGCAAACGTGACACCGAGAGGCGGCACACCCACCAGCCCGGCGCAACCAAGAAGCGCGCCCGACGGCCAGGCCCGGGGAGGGAGGCGTTGACGCTGAGCACTGTTACCCTGCGCATGTGCGGCGGGAAGTGTTTATCTGTACATCGTTGTCTGCAGCCGCTGGCGTCAGTCTGTCCGTCAGCCAGTCAGGCTGCCGTCGCATTGAAAGATTGTCGAGGGCACCAACTGAGTCCAGCAAGTGCATTGCACTGGACATGGGATACATCATTCAGCTGCGTTCGCAAACCATCCAGTCAGTCTCTGATCTCTCACGAGCTAAAAGTTGTTCTTGTACGCGAAAGGCACCTGCCAACCCACAGACAGACAGACAATCAGACGGCTTGAGCTCTGCCTCCCCGCTTGTGATGAGCCATGCTCTTCACTGACCTTGGTCCGTTGGTTGGCGTGGAATTTGTCGATAAGAAGCTCTGCCCCCCTCCTGGGGCTGCCCGATCCGAGTCGTAAGAGCTCTGCCTCCTCGCGTATGCCGTGGAAGAGGTTGTAAAGGGGGTCCTCCGTGGCCCTGTCGATCATGTCAGGGTCATAGTCGGGGAACCTGGGGGTGTCGACCGCATCGGCAGACCGCACGATCTCTATCCTATCAATCTTGATCCGAGTCATCTCCTGACGGTGGCCCTGCATCCGACGGTAGTGCTTCTTCGGCTGATGAACAACACACACACACCAACCACACACACCACCAAGCAAAGCCTTGTGAGTGAGGGACGGGAGCATGTGTGGTGCAATGCAAACGGACTGACCCTGAATTTGAAGATCTTGAGCTTGGGTCCTCTGAAGTGTTCCTGTACTGTGGCGTACACCCTGACGTTCTCAAGGTAGGGTGTGCCGAACCACGCCTCGCCCTCGGGCGTGTTGTAGACCAGGACACGGTTCAAAGCCACGCGGCGCCCCTCGTCGGCCTGAAGGCGATAGACGTTGTAGAACCTCCCCACCTCCACCCAATGCTGATGACCGCTCAGCTCCACCACGGCAAACGAACCACTGCGATCTCGCCCATCAGTCCGCTTAGCAAGCCGCTCCTGTGCTGGAGATAAATACTCGGTCGTGTCAGCCACGGCGGCCGATGCTGCAGCGGTCCGCCGAGGTCCACGAGCTCCCACAGTGGCACTGTCCAGCCGTGCAGGGATAGATGAGAGGGGTGGGAGGAAGCCATGGCTGTGATGCTGGAACAGGAGGAAGGAGAAAGTAATCCCCACGCACGCCGTCCTTGTTGAATGCCAAATCATCGCTCTTCCTCTTGGGACCGCCATGGGAGAGCGCTTTCACGGAATTGTTAGGCGTGCGAGCTTAGCTTACAAATCCTCTGGCTTTTTTGGAGGCCGCTGGCGCCGCGGAGCTTCCTGGTGTAGATCCGTGGTGTGTTTCCCGGGACCATGGCTTCAGCATTGTTCATTCTGGATATGAAGGGCAAGACCATCATCAGCCGCAACTACAGGGGAGATATCTCCTCGATGTCATCCGTCACGGACAGGTACAGGCAGTGCCTGCCACAAACAAGACCAGCGCATCTACTCGCTCAACGAAATGACTCGTGCGTGTCTGTCGGGTCGGCCCCTGCCGCCATGTGTCCGTCCGTCTCGGATGTCATGTTTGTGTGTGCAGGTTTCAGCAGAATGTGATAGAGCAGGAGGATGCGCTGGTCAAGCCCATTTTTCACGAGGACGGCGTCACCTTCTGCTGGATCACATACAACAACCTTTACTGTAAGTGAGCTGAGCTACCTGGGAGGGTATGCGTACCGACACGCAGAAATACGACAGGCACACGAACGGGCTGGCTGGCAGGGGAGGGAGAGGCGGGTGGGGTGAATGGTGTGCCGGTAGGTAGGTGTTTGCTGGAATGGATGGATGGATGGATGTGTGTGTGTGTGTCAGTGTTGGGTGTGACTCAGCGCAATTCGAATGCCATGATGATCATGACCTTCCTGTACAAACTGACAGAAGTAAGTACTGAGGGAGGGAGGGAGGGAGGGAGGGCGGTGACATGAAGATAGCACCGATCGATCGACCACCTGTATGTACTGTATGCGTTGTTCATCCATCCATCCGTCTGTGTGTGTGTTGTGTGTGTTGTGTGTGTGTGTAGGTGTTTCGTGACTACTTCAAGGAGCTGGAGGAGGAGAGCATCCGCGACAACTTCGTCATCACATACGAACTACTCGACGAAATGGTCGACAATGGATACCCTCAAGCCACCGGTACGCAGGCAGTGAATTACCCTCGACACACACACCACACCCATGCCTGCCTGCCTCGCTATGCTGACATTGATTGTGATGGGTGCGTGGTGTTTGTCCCGGTTCCCTTCCAGAGGTGAAGGTGCTGCGTGAGTACATCAAGAACGAGGCCCACCAGCTGTCTGTCGACGCCATCAAACCACCGACAGCCATCACCAATGCCGTCTCATGGAGGTACGCAGGCAACGGAGGCAAGCGGGGGCGGGCAGACAGGGAAGCAAACGGACGAAACAATCAAAACCTTTCCTGTGTGCTCGGCGCGTGACGCGTTCCATGTCGACGCAGGTCTGAGGGCATCAAGCACAAAAAGAATGAGATCTTCCTTGATGTCGTTGAGAAGCTCAACCTACTCGTAAGGCCAAAGCCGTGCACAGCACCTTGTCGAGTGGTGGAAATTGTGACTGACTGACTGAGTGATGACTCGGTGGCAGGTGTCAAGCAACGGTACGGTGCTGAGATCTGAGATCCTCGGCTGCCTCAAGATGAAGTCATTCCTATCCGGTAGACAGACAAGCAGGCATCACATCACCTGCCAGCCAGCCAGCTACCAAACCCACCCTCACTGGTCCGTCATTGTGTATCCAAGGTATGCCCGAGCTGAAGCTGGGCCTCAACGACAAGCTGCTCTTCGAAGCAACAGGCAGACGTAGGCAAGGCACAAGGAACGAAGCAACGAGTTACTCACTGTACTTGCTTGTGCGTTCCCTCCCTCCCTCCCTCCCTGTTGATCTGTGTCAGCGATGGCGAGGGGCAAAGCGGTGGAGATGGAGGACGTCAAGTTCCACCAGGTTACCTATGTGTGCCAACCACACCCACCCCCACACGACTTGCCATGCCATTGGGGTCCACTCGTGATCCTTGTGCAGTGTGTGCGTCTGGCCCGGTTCGAGAACGACCGCACGATATCGTTCATCCCGCCAGACGGGGAGTTCGAACTCATGTCCTACAGACTCAACACACACGTACGATAGATACGATAGATACCGACCCCACACGCCAAGTGTATTGCAACAGACAGACAGACAGACAGACAGATAGATAGGCAGAACAGACGTACGTACATATTCGTGTCCTGCACTCATGGGTGTGCGTACGCGTATGAATGACCAGGTCAAGGCGTTGATATGGATCGAGGCGGTGGTCGATGCGGGCAGGTCAAAGTCGAGACTCGAATACATGATCAAAGTGAGGAGACACATAAAGGGGGACGAGCGAACACCATTTCTCGACCCAGAAGTGACCAACTGGCGTCTGTGTGTCTGTTTGTGCCTTGTCAGGCCAAGTCTCAGTTCAAGTCACGGAGTGTGGCCAACAATGTGGAGATCCACGTCCCAGTGCCCTCAGATGTCGACTCACCATCATTCAAAGTCAGCCAACCACGCAACGCAGGAGGGACGGACGCAGGGAGACAGGGAGGCAACAAAGCAGCCAGTCACCCAGCCGGCCAGTGAAGCATAGGACTGACTGACTGACATGGATTCTCTTTTGCTCAGACATCAATAGGGTCGGTTAGGTATCTGCCACAAGAGGTGCGTCCCGTACGGACTGGAATGCGCAGATAGATGAGTACCCTGAACGTGCGTGTGTGTGTGTGTGTGTGTAGGATGTGATGGTGTGGTCGATAAAGCAGTTCCAGGGCCAGAAGGACTTCATCATGAAGGCCAACTTCGGACTCCCATCCATCAGTGCCGGTCAGTCAGTCACTCACTTATCTGAGCCACAACCGGCCAGCACCCTCCCGCCTAAGGCGTGTGATGTGTATCTATCTATCTCTCTGTCTGTCTGTCTGTGTGCTGTTTGTGGGCCCGGCCAGATAATCGGGAGTCGTACACCAAGAGGCCAATCACCGTCAAATTTGAGATCCCCTACTTCACTGTCTCGGGTAGGGTACACATCACATCCACACCTACACCTGCAGACAGACAGACAGACGATGGATGGATGGATGCCCAGACGGACAGAGCAGCGACAGACACGGGTGTGCGGTGCGATGAGGGAGGGATTAATCAATCGTGGCTGCTTGCCCTTCTTCCAGGCATCACCGTGAGGTATCTTAAGATCATCGAGAAGAGCGGGTATCAGGTACGCACCCGTCAAGAGCAACACGCGACCAGCTGATCAGCTGTGACGTGCTTCTTCCTACCTCCTGGGTGCTTTCTGTCGTTCAGGCTCTCCCGTGGGTCAGGTAAGCAAACGCGCCATGCCCCTCCGACTACACAGATGATGGTTTGGTGTCTGCCTGTTTCTTATTTTTGGAAGATACATCACCAGGTGGGTCCCACCCACCCCACCCAGCGCAAGAAAGATATATACTCCGCCGCATATGATGGCATGGCATTCTCTACGCGTGTGTGTGACATCTGTCTGTTTCTGTTTCAGCAACGGGGATTATCAGCTGCGCATGTCGTAGGCAGGTCAGGTCGGTGGGCCGGCGGACAGGACACTCTGGTTGGTAGGGGGAGTCTCAAGCCATCCATCCATCCATCGAGCATGTAGAGTAAGTAGCTCAGCTGTCCAGATGGCTTGGCTGCACTGCATGGCATGTGTTTGATCACGACACGACGTGGTGGGCACGTGACTTCCTGCGTACATGCCATCGGAGTGGACTGCGTGTTTGACCGATCAACGGAATGAGTGAGTGGGAGCAATAGTCATAATCAATCAATCAGTCATCAATCAATAAATGTCACATGCTCATAAGGCAGGCCTGGCCTGGCCTGGCCATTCACAAAGTCCATCTCATCCATCGTTGGCATCGTTTGGCTGGTGACTGAATTGACACTTACACGCACACAAGCCACCACCAGCAGGCAGGCAGGCACCCAGTGTGTGTGTGTGCGGCCACTCAAGTCACTCGCGAATCCAATCCATATCACTGGCTCACAAAAGACCACAGCAAGTGTTCAAGAAATATACACACATGCAGCTGGCTGGCTTGCCTGGTGGGCGCGCTGATCTATCTATCTAGATGGAGGGAGGGAGAGACCTAAACAGTCTGCGAGAGAGAGAGACACCACACGTATTTATATGGATGGACACACATACACACACACACGTGTGGACATAGATAGATAGATAGTTGCCCTACCGCCACGCGCACCGCACCGCACCGCACCGCATACAGCAAGCCCCCTTCCCCGCCCGCTTGCAGCCTGCTGGTAGGGTGCCTCTGCCAGTGAGTCGGCCGCGTGTGCATTACAATCAATACACGGTGTATGTATTTATTGTAGGTATGTATGTATGTATGTATGTGTGTCTGAATCGATCAGTGAGCGTGAGGGTCATGTCAGACGCATGCGACGACCTGGAAGACGCATCGTGCCTCCAGCAGCTGGCCCTCTGAGCCAGCTACCGATCCCACGATCCGCAGCACCTCCTGGATGGGCTCACGGCATATCGGGCACTCTGGCAGGCTCGGACGGCGGTTGCCCCGCTTCCGCGCACGAGTCGTTAATGGCTGCACACATACACAGACACAGAGCGAGAGAGAGATAGGTGCGAAGAAGCAAGGCAGGTGGACGCAGCCAGCCAGCCAGCCAGCCAGCCGTGTGTGTGTGCCCCTCCGATCCGCCCACCCCACATACATACGGTACGTACCTCTTTGAGGAATTCGCTGGAGCATTCGATGCAGAGTCCGCCATGGCCGCATGGTTTGAGCACCACATCAGCAGCTGCACTGCAACAGATGGAGCAGAAGGGCATGTCCACCCCGGCAGACCCCTGCCGCCCATCCTCAGGAGGACCCACAAACACCGCCGGAGCCGCAGTCGGCCGGGCCATGGACACACACACATCCGATGCTGACGAAGGGAACGGGTCGGGCCGCTCGTCCGGGAGATGGTCCGGCGGGCTGGTGGTGCTGGCGCCCACAACATCCTCACTATTCACATTGCCGCCCCCACCCCCACCGCCACCGTTGGTCATGTCTGTGGGCCGCCCGATGATTGCCCGTCGTGTCGCCCGTGCAAAGATGGTTGCGGCCCGCGGGCGGGCGATAGTCACGACGGAAGGTGCGTTGCTGAGGCTGGGCTTGTCGGCTGACCCTGACCGTCTCCTCTTGAAGAGCGCCATGGCCCTCTCCTTCCAGGTGATGCGGATGCGGCTGGTCTTCCTCTCGAGGTCGAACCTGGGCGCAACGTCGTGGCCGGCCGGCATGACGTTGGCCTTGGCGCTCTCGTCAGCCTGCACTGTCACGCGAGACGGACACTCGGATATACCAGACGAGAAACCTAAGCAAAGCATCACAGACAGACCGAGGCGGTTGGCTTCGTTCGCTGTGTGCTGCGGTTGGTTGTCCGTGTGTGCGTCAGTGAGGTCAGTGAGTGCGTCAGTAACTGACCTTGTTCCTCTACGAGGAATTTGTCAAGTCCCCTTTGGAGTCTGGAGAGGTCACCGTAGAGGGCGTCGCTGACCTCCGACTGGTGGTCGCCCGGGTCCGTGTGCTGGTCCTTGTCGCCACCCACTGGCACCGGTGAGCCCGCCCCACCCTCTCCACCCTCCGGCTGCTGCTGCTGCTGCTGCTGCTGCGAGGAGGGGTCAGCTCCCTCCTGCTGCTGTCTGGATGTCGTGCATGTGGCACATGCGCAAGACGAGACCTTTTGGAGCCGCAAAGCTGGGCTTCTGCACGCCTCGGTTTCAGAGGCGATGGACCCCTCGCGATCGTCCGACTCGCCTTTGCCGCCATTGGCCGGCTGGGGCCGGGGCTCGGACCCCTCACTCCCAGACTTGGCCGCCTTGCACGGCCGTCCACCCTGCCCCTGCCCCTGGCCCTGTGCACGGGGGTGGTTGTTGGCCGCCGAACGACGGGAGTCAGTGCTGCCGATGTCAGACGAATCGTCATTGAACCTGATGAAATAAATAGAATACACGGGGAGGAAGGAAACACACGTAAGTAAATGATACCTTCCTTGCTTGCTTCTGTCTACGTGCGGCACTCAGTTAACTGTCTGCGTGTTCACCTCACCGCCCGCCTCCCTCCCTCCCTACCTAAAGAAAGTGTTATTGACTTTAGTGAGAGTGGATCTGCCCGAGTCCGCTGGCGTCCTGAGGGCGGCGGCGTCGTGTGCCTCGGAGCGCGCGAGTGGCGAGGCCAGGTCCATGCGATCGAGCTTGGGTGGGGTGGCGGCTGGCATGAGGGAGGGGGAGGCCAGCTGCGACTGCTTCATGCGAGAGAGGGGGCTGAGGCCGCTGGTCGACGGAGGTGCGCCGCCGTGGAAGGCTGCCTGGTGCTGGGGGCGCTGGCTGGGCGAGATGACGTAGTAGTGTGTGGAGAAAAGCACCACGTCACCCAGCTGACCCGGCGACACACCCCCCCGGTTGTTGAGGCTGGTGGCTCCGTCGGGCAGCCCCCCCGACCCGCCCCACAGCAGCCCCGCACCCGACATGCCCGTCACGCTGCTGGCAGATGGGGTGGCGGCGTCGACGCGGGACGAGGGGGTGATCATGTCGAGTATGTTGGATGACGACTGCTGATGGGGGCCGACGGCCGGCCCCTCCATCCCGAACCCCTGAGGGCCGTACTCGACGTCAGTCGACGGCGACGCCGCATCGCGATCCTCTCCCTCAGCAGAACCTGATGGAAGACACATACACAACGCAGGTGGCAGAATTCCCGACCCATACATCCCATGCCATGCAGCCAGGCAGCTGGGCCAGCCACGCCTTTTTTCGTGCATGCCATGCATTGACTGTATGCATCCATCCATCCCTCCCTCCCTACCCCATGGGCCTTGTCCGCCTCGGTGTCTTTGTTGTTTGCCCTCGATGCGATAAACGGGTGGGGTGACGGTGGCCGAGTGTGTCGACTGCAGCTCCAGTGGCGTAAGGCACTGACAGTCGCTCGCTTTGCGGCACTGGTCGCTGCTGCACGAGGCCCTCTCATGGCGGCCGTCGTCGTACCGCACGTCCCTCTCGCGCAGCACTATGACGCGCCGCCTGTCGGGGTCCGACTGGTGGTCCTTGTCAGGCTGCTTCCGCAGCATGCCCTTCCTCGACGTGATGTGGGATGTTATCTCCTTAAGCGCACTCGAACGAGAACGCCCTGCACTCACACATACACACAAACATACATACCAACGTGGCAGATGGCCAACGACGTCGATCGATCGATCAGTGAGTGTGTGTGTGTGGTGGGTATGTACATTGCCACAGTAGTGCGGCGGGTAGAATGATGATGACCAGGCATCCAATCGGCAAGATCAAATAGTACACATACCAACCTAAACACACACACACACAGTCGACACACCCATAGATATTCGATCCCATCTGGTGTGTCCTGTCTGTCTGTCTGTCTGTCTGTCTGTCACTCACCGCGTTGCGAGCCCTTGTCCTTGTCGATGTGTGTGTCGGTGTCCCCACCGTCCGTGTCGCCCTCAGCCGTCTCCTTGGCCAGCACGAGGGAGCGCTGGTAGTTGTGTTGATTGAGCCACACCACTCCATCCCCGTCAGCACTGCTGGTCCTGCGCGCCACCTCCAGGTGCACGTCGAAGCCCATCCCGCGGCTGCCCGTGCAGTTGTGGCCTGCAAAGGGCATCGCCTGGATCTTGATCAAGCGACCGTCCTCAGGCGGAGTGAAGAACGTCACGGAACTCACTCCACGCTGAGACAAACCATCACCTGCACCCAGCCAGCCACAGCCAGCGAAAGGAGGGGGATTGCCTGCCTGTGTGTGTGTGTGTGTGTGTGTCAAGTATGTGCCCGGCCTGCAAGCGTGACTGCCGCCCACCCACCCACCGACCCTTGTCTTTGCTGCCTTGGTCTTGGCCCTTGACCTCGCCCTGCATGTGGGCGACAGCGGCTCGGCCGTTGACGTAGTAGCAGACACTCTGAGGTGTGCGGTGTTCTTTGGGGAATGTGATGGCGGCAGCGCTGATGCTGAGTGAGGTGGATGAGGGAACCTGCAGCAGCGGCACCTCAAATATGTCGTGGGACATGCTCGTCGGCGACTGAAAAAAGAACGACGGCGAGTCGGCCCCTACGCCATTCACTGACAGACGGGATATAGCAAAACCTGAGTAATGAGTGGAGAGACAGACAGACAGACAGACAAGACAGCCAACCGATAGATAGGCAGATAGATAGATACGTGGAATGGGAGCGGATGCCCCACACCACCCCTCAGCCCACGTCAGGTTTGATTAAGCTGACTGGCTGACTTACCGGCCTCTCCTTGGGTGGCATTGGCGGCTGCGTCTTGTTCGACTTGGCGGGCCTTGTCTGCGCCTGGCCCCTGGTCCGTCTGCCGCATCACGTCCTCGGGCCGGTTGACGGTCTCCAAGTTCTTGATGCGGGCGTCCTGACACTCCACGGACAGCCGGAACTCCCCGATGGCGTTGGAATACCCCGCAACCACTATAATGTAGTTGCCCGGCGGCACGTCCACCGTCAGGCGGCTCTTGAGGTAGCCGAACGACTCGAAGGCCTCGTCGTTGTAACCCACACAGTAGTCGCTGCCGTAGGCCTCTCGGTGCCTGGCCGCCGTGGCATCCCTGTCCTTGTCGCTGCCCGAGAAGAGGGCCAGTCCAGCTGCATCGATGGGAGGGCCCCTGTCCTGGTGGGCCTTCATCTTGCCACTCGACTGGGCCCGCTTGGTGGAGTCCCGGCAGTCGGCCAGGACGGCTATGATGGTGTCGAAGGACGTCAGCAGGTGGTCCGTGCTCACAGTCAAAGAAATGCTCGCGTCCGACGCATTGATGTTGCCACGCGGATTCGACGTCCACGGCCGAAGCGACAACGAATACAGAATCTGACTCACACAGACAGACAGACAGACAGACAGACAGACAAGGCACACCACATGGCAAGAACAATCACTTGCAGAGGTGGCACTTGCTCTCCACCTGTGGGCTTCCCGATGTAAGCCCGCATCCAGCCACGGCCTCAGCCGTGCTGGCCCTGTTGGATGCGTCAATGACATCACCGCAACTAAGGGAGTTCTCTGGATGTGCCGTCAGGGATGCGGCCCAGGAGGGGTGTGGCAGGGGCGGCGACAGATTGGTGAGGGGGCAGAGGAAGGGCAGTGGCGTCCTGCCGTCATCGCCTGCGACCTCCTCATCTTCCTGTGCACTTGTCGTGTCGGTGTCGTTGGCCGTGTCGCTGGCGTCCTCATCGGTGGTGTTGAGTGCGGTGGTGGGTGCCGTCGAGTAGAGGACGATGCAGTCCCATTGTTCGTCTTGCTGTTCGTCCTTCTCTGCCATGGCCTTGACCATGCCCAGGTCGCCCCCCTGCCTCAGGAACCGCCCGTTGCGCGAGAGGGTGGTGGCCGTGGTCCTGGCGCGCTTGGGTGGGCTGCGGCTGGTGGTGCCGGGCGTGGCGTCCAGATCGGTGCCGTTGTTGGGACAGCCGTCCTCTATCGGCAGACATTGCGCAAACACCTGATAGATCAATGGACACACGACACGACCTCGTCATGGTCACTGGCTGGTCAAAGAGTGTCTTGTCTGGGTGGGTGGATGGCTCACTTCGTTCTTTCGCAGACAGACATATCCCGGGGCATCACAGCATTGGGTGTCCTGACACTCATCCAGTGGACCAGACGAACAGGCTGACACACACACACACGCATACGGTCATCCACTCCACGCAGCCCAGCCCCCCACACCCCATATGTCTGTCGGCTGTAATAGTGTGTGACCTGCTCTGGGCAGTTTGGCACAGGTCCAGCTGAAGGGGTCAGGTTCCTCGGGCGGTGGGCAGGGCTCGTTGAAAGGACGGCACTGAGCGTAGTACTGATAGAACCAAACGAGGGAGGGAACAGCGCAACGGTCGGTACACACGTGTGCACATTCTGATTTGGTGTCGTGTGGTCCAGAGTGGGTTGCTTGGTTGCTTGCCTTGTCCTTTTCCTTGCAATGGAATCCGGGTGTGGAGCAGCATTGGCTCTCAAGGCACGGCTGGAAGGGGGGCGTGGAGCACTCTGACCATTCCATCCACACACACACACACACGTGGATGCACACACACCACACGCACAAGCAGTCCTTACTTACCAGGTTTGGGTAGGAAGCTGCAGGTCCAGTCGGCAGGCTCCGGGTCGAAGGCAGGCGGGCACGGCTCCTCCACCGGACGACACTGGGCGTAGTACTGGGGGGATTCACACACACACAACCGTCACGTCAATGTCAAGCATCAATCAATAGTCGGGTGGGTGCGTGCGGTCAACGTCTGTCTGTCTGTCCGTCCGTCTGTCTGTCTGTCTGTCTGTCTGTCCGTTTGCTGACTGCCTGCCGGACTTTGTTTTTTTCCTTGCAGACAAATCCCGCGGTGTTGCAGCACTGCATGGCCGTACATGCCTCGAAGGGACCGATGGGACAATTATCAGCCCCGTTGAACACTGACACACACAAACACCACACCAGCGCTTCACACTAACTAAGAGGCCGTTTGCTGTCGGTGTGCCAGCCTGTCCGTCTGTCTGTCTGTCTGTCTGCCTGACCTAAGGATGGTCGACCTGGAGCATCGGCCTCTTCGGGCAGAGCTGGTAGGTTCCGTTGTCGGGCGGTCGTCGCGTTGAAAAACGCCTCAACAACACCGCCGCCCTCAGTCACACTTTCAATCGCCTGACAGACAGACAGACAGACATCGAAGGCCGGAGGGAAAGGAGGAAGGAAGGAAAGAGGCTTCAGCGCTTCGGTGAGCGTGTCAGACGCCTCTGTGCCATCTATTATCAGTCAGCCCAGCACCACCCACCCACCTGAGTGACCACCGGTGCGTGGGCTGCTGGCCATATTGTGTATGACGGGAGGACTGCTGCTCCTGCCAGGAGGCGGACGATATGCCACATAGCACAGCCACTCTGGCGTGCGAGGTCGGTTAGCCCAGCCCCTGCCCCATCGCGTCAAAATTAATAAATTAGGCCTAACGCTTCCTGTAAACTCATGCGCAAGTCAAGCTGCATTGACTCTTGTTTTGCTGTCGTCGGTCCTTGTGACATGGAGCTTCACACACTGCCCGCACCACACCACCGAGCCCGACGACCCACTCCCTTGCCCACTGGTATCATGGCCATCATGTGCACCCGAGACAGAGAGCACCAAGGCAAAGTACACCTCACCCACCACACAAGGCCTCATCTCTACACGCATCGTGTGCCACCCGCTGTCTGCCTGCGGATCACCCTTCCTGTCAAATGTCCTCTCCATGTTGCCCTCGGTCTGCAGCCAAGCCTCGACGTCAGCTGGCCCAGCACCAGGGCCGCCACCATACACAAAGGGGAAGACGCCAAGCCTCGCCGTGGGGCCGACGCCTTGATCACACCCTCCAAGTGGACCACCGATAAGGGCCTTGCCCTCGAGCACGATGGACATGTCTGCTGGGATGGAGTAACACACCATATTGCCGGGGCCGACGCATCGCTGCACCGCAGCCTGTGCTTGCTCATCGGATGTCGCAGAGATCGACAGGTCCATCTGCACCTGAAAGACAGACAGAAGAAGGGCGTACGGAAAGACAGCAGGCGAGGCGGCTTGATTGACTCTTAAGTGTGGTACCTGTCTATGAGTGTCGTTGCCAGCCATGTCGGCCACATAGTGCGGCGATGGCAGCCCAATAAAGCCCCTGCGTGGCCTCCTGCGACCGTGATGGCCCCCCAGGATGTCTTGCAGCGATGCCGCCCTCTTGACCCCCGATGCAGGGTGGCCGACCATGGTTGCCTGGTCGGAGGGCAGGCTGAGCAGCACCCACCCCACACCCAGACGCCTGAAGAGGTGCTCCAGGCCATGCTCGGGGGTGGTCTGGCATCTGTGGGTCAGATGCAGCACTGACTCGTGTGGGCCTGCCGCACCCACCACCTCTGCCGTGGTTGGCGCCTCATGGTCAGGGGCCGCCTCCTGGATCCAGCAGACCAGGTGCTCGTTGGCCTTGGCCTTGGTCTTGATGGAGGCCGTGATGGCCACGTGGTCAGATACCACATCGGTGGCGCCGGGGGCCGTCTCGCGACTCAACGCTGCTGTCAAGGCGGGGCTGTACATGCCTGAACTCGAGGCTGCACACACAAGACAGACAGGCAGACCCGAAAGAGAGGGAAATCTGTATGCGCTCGATTATCTTTCTGTCTGCTTTGCAGCCTCTTGTGCCTGCCTTCCTACCTACCTAATTTGGCGAGCTGTCCGACGTCGAATGCGGCGAGAGGCGAGCACCGGACCCGTTCGACAGTGAGGACATCGGCCACCGACACCTCGATGACCAGCGATGCAATCTTCCAACGCGCGAGGGCCGCGCAGTCGTCAGCTGGACTCGTGCAGTAGCGAATGCTGCATCGCATTCACGCAGAGAACCAACCAAGCACACAAATCATTCATTAAATCATTCACTCAGTGAGTAAGTAAGCTGCGGTGTGTCGGCTGACTGACTGACCTGACGATGCATCCGGGGTGTGCTAACGAGGCGACACATTTAAGGCCCAGCAGCTGCTCGGCGCCCGGTGCGAAGACCGACGTATTGGCACCGCTCTGAACGACCGCCCAGGCCTCATCAAATGGTATCGTCCCCTCGCCGCCCGCCGCATTCTCCCACTCGTCAAGGGCCGACAGCTCTACTGACAGGGTCTGGGCCGGCAGGCTGGAGGCGTTTCTGATGACGACATCGACATGCACCAGCTCGCCCTCATACAGCAGCGATGACGGGAGCGGCCGCGGCACCTTGCTGCATGTGAGGGTGGGCAGCTCTTCCACCACCTCAAATGCCGTCAGGTAACTCGCCGACTTCTCGCCCGCATCGAAGAACTGTGTCTGTCGACAGTTGAGGGCCGTGAACTCCACACCAATGAGCCGCCCCCTGCCCAGCTGGCCGGCGCGCATCCACAACTCACACACGACGTCGCCATCGTCTGTCCGCCTCGCATCTTGCGGCACGATGCGGCTCCCTGCCAATGGGCCGCCCGTCGGTGTGGGGGAAGTGGATGATGCAGCGCATGACGACGGCAACACGACCGATGTGGGAGGCGTCTCGATCGGCACACCGTTTCTCTCTGCGATGAGGTGCAGCCCGTCGAGCAGCAGTGGCAGAGGCAGGTACTGGCGAAAACACAGCTCCACTTTGCACATGTCGCCACAGGGGATGATGCACGGGCCGCCAGACGGGGCAGCAACCGAGACTGTGCTGCTGGCCCGCTGCCGTTTGCCGAAGGGTGCGAAGAGGAAGACATCCCGGTGTGCTGCGGACGGTGAGGGCAGGCTGACACGGGGGGTGGGGGAGGACTCATCTTGCTCTTGTTCGGGCACACTGACCTCCACTGTGGTGGCCCACGACATGGCCGGGGCGCCGGGGATGGGCTGCCGGTGGGAGAGGGACGGGGTGACGATGTTGATGCTCACGAGAAAGGGCACAGGCGGCACACACGATTGGGGGGACAGGTGGAGACGACTGGGGTCCACCGTCACGCGCATGTCGGACGGGTCGCTGTAGACGAACATCGAGGGCACACCGCAGCTCCCGCGGCGAGAGGTGCATCGGCAGCTGCTGAGTAGCCTCAGGGGTGGGTTGATCTGCGCGGCGACGGCCTTGAGCTGATCGATAATCATCAGACACCGCGTGAAGTCACGCTGGCCTTTGCTGACGTCCGTGGCCGTGGCCGTGGCCGTGCGGCCCGCCGGCGTGGTTTCCCTCCTGGCGCGCTCATCCACATCGATCTCCAGTGCCAGCAGGGCATAGAGGTACCACGCCTGCTTGGCCTTGCTGGCCTCATTGGCGGCCACACCAGAGAGGAAGGTGAGCATCTGCCGCTGCAGAGATGGCCAAGAGGGTGAGCTGCAGGGCCACACACCGCAGGGGGAGGGTGTGCACGCAAAAGGGGGCGCGGAAGGGACGCACGACGCCCGGTCGCCCGATGGACTAATCGACGGCTGCACACTGGGCGGCGAGAGCCTCAGTTTCTGCTGGTGTCGCGCCAGATGCTGACGGGTGGTCCTCTCGCCACTCTTGGCAGCTAGCTGCTGGTGCGCCGGTGAGGTTACTGCGCCACTAAGAACCCCACCTGCATCACCAGGATGATGCAAGCACATGGGGTCAGCTATGACGACGAAGTGCCACCATGAGGCCAGCAGAGCCACGATCCTCTCGCAGTAGTGGAGGCTCTGGGACTGCATCGCCAGCATGATGTACCAGCCAAAGCGGCGATAGGCACCCATGTAAGCACAGCACGAGCTCGCCTGTAACAAGGCCTCCACTCGTTCCATCGGGCCCATGTCGAGGGTGGCTGACTGATGGGGCTCTTGTGGCGTTGAGGACTCCGGGATGGCGTGTGGGCCGTCTGTGAGAGATCGAGGGGCGGCAGGGGGGAAGTGGATGGCCGACGAGAGGGAGAAGGAGCCGTCAGCCACCGGGGAGGATGCGATGGTGGCGGTTCCTGAGCGCATCGGCGGGCTGGTCTTGAGGGATGACGTCTGGGGGTACGAGTGGGAGAGCGCACGGCTGGACAGGGGGAACACGTGCTGGTCCACCAGCTTGGTCAGCAGCTCCAGGGCGGCCCGCCTGCCCTCGTACATCATGGCCGCAGTGGCGCTGCTGCTGGAACTGCTGCTGCTGTTGCTGCTGGGCATCCGCAGCTTGACGCTCCCCGTGACACTGCTGCCCAGGGCATGTTTGTGAGCCTTGCTGCTGGTGTAGGGGTCCTCGGGCAGCGGCAGGGGCACACCACATCTGGACAGGGTGATGTACAGCCGCACCAGCTTCAATGTCCCGTCGATGTGCGGCAGAGCCCCCATCTTTTGGAACCGCCCGAGCGCCTCTCGCTGCCGGCTGATGACCGTCGCCAGGAGTGTATTGCCCGCCTCACCCTCTGCCGTGGTGGCCGTTGTAGGGGGGGCCGAGCTGGGTGCTGAGTCAGGCTCCTCGTCCGATCCACTCGCCGCTGTGGCACTGGCGCCACCGCCGGCCTTGGACTTGATGGCCACCCCTGCTGTGGCCGTGGCGACGGCGGGAGCAATGAACTGCATCATGATGCCGCCCATTTGCTTCTTGTGGCGGCTGTCGCACAGCTTCTGCACCACCGATGGGAAGGACGGGCCAGGCATGGCCGACGACACGAGCGACTCGCCAGATGAGCCAGTGGTGAGAGCCCCCGTGCTGTTGCCGCCCTTGGCCTTGAGCTGCACCTCACCAGCCCGCAACCTGTGCTGCAAATAGAGGTAAAGCGCCCCGGCCTCAGCCTCCATCGTGGCTGCATGCCATAACGGGTCGCCCTCCGTGCCCGACGAGTGGGAGGGCTTCATGACCTCCACGGCCGTGGCGTAGAAGGAGAGTGCGTCGATAGGCGAGCCGACGAGCAGACAGAGGTCGCCCTTGTACTTGTGCTCCCGGTTGGCCTGCTGCTGCTGGTGAGGCGTGGCCCGGGAGGTGAGAAACTGGGGTGCGAGGTCCAGAGGGGTGTGCAGGGATGGGGAGCGGCCGAAGAGGGTGCCCAGCTGACGCATCAGGAAGGTGCAGAAATCATGCCTGCTTCCATCCATCAAGTGACAGACAAGAAGGCAAAGCAACAAAATGTGTGTGCGAATGAATGGACAGGGTGTGGCGTGGTGCGGTGTCCTTATTTATGTTCATACATGACGGTTGTGATGTAGTGGCTCAGGTGACGCTTATCCTGTCAGTCAGGACACACACGCACCCACACACCACACACACACACTCCCTCTCTGGTGGGTGGCTCATGTATGTTGTCAGTTAGTTCCTTGGTCACTCACTCACTGACTCACTGACTCACTGACTGACTCACCTGGTTGGGGAAGAGCACATAGTGGTCGAGTTCTTTCGAACGTGCCTCCCTCAGCTTGTGGGTCCCCTCCCCGCCACCATCACCATCCTCTTCCCTCTCAGGGAGCTCCTGCTGGTGGTCCAGTGGCTCGAACGCCAGCAGCCGGTGCACCAAGACGCTCCGCAGCCCACTCACTCGCCTCTGGTAGTCGCTCTTGTAGAGCTCCCGCGGGTCGCCACCGCACGAGGGGCAGTGCAAGAACCCCAGGGCACCGTAGATCTGGTGCGACGGCCACAGCCAGTCCCAGTCGCCGGGCTCATAGATGGTGGCCTCGGAGGTGCCATCGAGGTCATCTGCCTCGATGAATGACAGGCGGAGTGCGCCGTGCTGTCTGGGCAAGTGGTGGAAGGGCGACAGATAGGGGTCCAGCGGCGAGAGCGTCAAGCTGGCGAGGTCAATGACGCTGCACGACTCCCGGATCCAGCTGGCATACTGCAAACACATGATAGACGCATTCAACAGACCGATGACAGACAGCGAATGATGAATGAATGAATCAGTCAAGAGCCGGCGCTGCTCGGACATACGGCAGCCTCTCGTTCATTCCTCTCTTTCTCTGTCTGTCTGTCCATCACTTGGTGTCACCTTTCGGAATTGTGTGTGGTCTGTCTTGCCGACGGGGAAGAGCAGCACGCGTATTGTCCACGCCGATTCAAACGATGCATCCAACATCACTCTCACCGACAAACGTACCAGCCACCACCCTGGAGCTTCCCTCCTGCAATTCTAAGCTCGCAAATGGCAGGAATTTCATTCATTCATTCGTTTGTCACGTAGCATCCATGCATCGACAGAAGAGGACACTGTAGTGCCGAAAACGGCTCTTCAATCGAATCAATCAAATCAATCACTATCGAGCCACACGTACGTCCATTTTATGCAGACGCGTGTGACGTCACAAGGCCATCCATCCATCTGTCTGTCTGTCTGTCTGCACATTCCCCCTGGAGGCATCCACGCCCTGCATGCAATCAGTCAGCCACAGTCAGTCAGTTGTGCATTTGGCGCCTCTGTATGGCATGCATCTTCTGCTCCAGCGGCGACATCTTCTTCTGGTCCCTCCCGCTCCCGCCCCCCTCGTCCTCACCATCCCCATTGCTATCCTCCTCCTTGTCGCTCCGCGACACAGACATGTCAGCGGGCGGCCGGCGCAACCGACGCCGCCTCTTACGCTGACCCTCCTCGCCCTCGCCCCCGTTGGCCTCATCGGCCTGGTCCTCTCCGTCGGCTCGTCGGAGGCGTCGGCCTCGCCTGGGCGGTGGATGACGGCCCTTGTCATCATCGATGAGCATGTCATTGTCGTTGCCCAGGGGTGGCATGTGTGTGGGGTGGGGTGGGAGGGGGGGCAGGAACGGGCCTGGTGCGGCACCTGCTGCCGACGATGCTGACGCTGCAGCTGCAGCACCAGCACCAGCCGCCGCAGCCTGGACCCAAAGGAAGGGGAAAGAAACGATGGCTGTTGTCGGTCATGTCTCTTGTGATATGACTGACCTGTCTGTTGTCACGGCGCCTGTGGTCATGATTAGGTTGTCTCTGGTCCGCTCGCCCCGCGCGTCGCCTGTGGTCGTCGGATGCCGATGAAGATGAGCACTCGATGACGTCGCCATTGACGATGAACCCACTAAGGGAACTAGACGACTCAGACGAGCTCTGCACACACCACCCGAGACATACACCGCAACATGAAGGAATGAATCGACGGACGGGTGCATGTCGGTGCTGTGAGTGAGTGAGTGAGTGAAGGTGCATCCGTCTGTCTGTCTGTCTGTACCCTCCAGACATCGCCCCCATCCGTGGGTTCCCTCCTGCCTCTCCCTCTGCGGCCCCCAGGCCGCCCCACCCTGCCCCGGCCCCTCACATGCCCCTGACGCCTCACCGGCCGACCGCCGCGTCGCCCACCCCTCCCCCTGCCCTCGTCAGCACGACCTCTTTGGCTGGCCGCCACCTGTGCGTTGATGGCCGCTGTGCATTGGGGGCAGAACCACTCGCCCTCGGGGACAGCGGGGAGGCCAAGGCAGTAGGTGTGGTAGGCCGCTGGGCAGGGACGGTTGTCGCACAGCAGCAGCTGGTCCTCATTATCACCCGCACCGCACTCCCAGCAATACAACTGGTCCCACCCCTCCGCTGAGTGAGGGAGGGAGTCAGGGAGGGAGGGACCACACACCACAACACACAGACCAGGTGGCAGACCGGAGTGTTTCTTTCGCTAAAGGCCGGCCCCTCTGTCTGTCTGCCTGTCCCTCCCTGCGTATGTGTGAGGTGGTTCAACCTTACGGATCATGTCGTCGTCTTCAGCCTGGTCGACCTGCAGTTCCTTGGGTTCGACGGGCATGGTCTCGAGGACCTGACTGGTGGCCATGGAGACCTTCCCGATAGACGTGAAGCTCAGCTTGCACAGGGGGCAGTGGTTGGTCACGGCAGCCCACTTGACGATGCACGAGTGGCAGTACATGTGGCCGCAGCAGTCCAGCAGACCCCGGTGCTCGATCTCACTGCTCTCCGTCAGGCAAATCATGCACGGGTCCGACGCCGACGCATCACCGCCCCCCTCACCCTCTCCCTCTCCGCCTCCCTCACCATCTTCCACAGCAGCAGGCCTCCTCTTCCGCGCGGCCATCTTCTGTGCGAGCCGCTCATGCAGGGGTGGTGGTGCTGCTGCAGACGGGGCGTCACCAGCACCCAGGCCCATGACCTCGTCAGGCTGCTCATCTTGGCCTATGGCCGGTGCCGCTGCCGCTGCTGATGCAGATGCAGATGCAGATGCAGATGCCGCTGATGCTGCTGCAGCGTCGGCCGCTGAGGCTTGGCGCTTAAATGGTGGAATGAAGGGCCGCCTCTTGCGGATGGGGTTGACGGGCGGCTGGTGGGGCTGCTGATCTTGACACTGGGGGCAGTACTTGAACTCATCCAGGAACTGCAGCTCCTGATCATCCACCTTGTCCTCGCGCTCCTGACCACCCTGACCGGCCTCTGCAGCCGCCGCTGGCTGCCGATCTGCCGCAAGTGAGGGTGTCTGGTGGGCCTGCTGCTGTGCCTCCCGCAGCGCAGGCCTGCGGAATGGCACGCGACGCAGCTCACGCCTGGGCCACAGGCGAGGGCGATGGGGCGGGCAGCCCGCGTCGGCATCGGCCTCGAAGGCACCACCCTCCTGCTGCTGGTGGTGCTGCTGGTGCTGGTGCTGATCTGATGGTGGGTTGTGTTGGTTGGCGTCGGGTGGTGGGGAGAGCAGCCGCCTGTGTCGTGGAGGGAAGCGGGGGTTGCTCCAGATGGTGATCAGGTCGGGGTTGTTGCACAGCACTCCCGCCTGACACACACACACACACACACACACACACACAGAGAGAGAGAGAGAGAGAGAATGGATTATGGGCGACGTCGTAGTTTCCCCTCCCTCAGTTGGCTCACTTCTCGAAGCTGTGCGAATACGGACATCCGACGCTGCCTGCTGGGTGGCGCTGGCTGTGGTGGCGGGCTGGGCTGCCCACCAACACCCGAATCACAACAGTCGCCAAAGATGGAGTCCAGCAGATCATCCGCACCACCCCGCTCCCGCACCTCTTGCCCCTCATCAGACGGTGGCCTCACGCCCCCACCTGCACCGGCAGCGTCACTGGCACCAGCACCGGCCATGAAATTGTACATGGCAGCACCTCTCCCCCGCCCGCGGAAGGGTCGTCGCGCCAGCCGCCTCACTGGCCGCTCAGCAGCTGCTGCCGGCAGTGCATCAGAGGGGTGATTGGGGGGCTCTGACGGGTCTGCCACCTTGTGGTCGTCCCCAGCAATGGGAGAGGGGCGGGGCTGGAATGCGCTAGCTGAGTCGCTGGTGGCGTTCCCATCAACGGTTGCGGGCTGGTCCACGGGCTCGGTAGCGAGGGAGCCCGTGGTGCCGACCTGATGATGACCAGATGCCGATGCGGGGGCCTCTGTGTCGGCTGTGGTCGTGAGCGTGAACCTGTAGATGAGCTCGGACTTGTTCCTCGGCCCAAACACCACCTCGTCGCCCTCACACAAATCTACAGTGGCCTTCCGGTGCAAACAGCCATTAACCTCGACGCCATTGACGCCCACCACCTCGAGCCGATAAGTGTAGCCATGGGAAGGGCCGTATGCAGACGATGAGGATGCGCTGGCAGCAGCTGTGGGTGTGCGGATGACGGTGGCGTGGTGGCGAGATATCATGTGATGGTGGCAGCTGTCCACACGCGCCTCGACCCATGGAGCACGGCCTATGCGGGTCTCATCCGACCTCAGATGGATGACACGGGGCTGCACAGTGGTTGCGGCACACGCCTCACCACCACCTCTCGCGGAAGACACAACCAGCATCTAATCGATGAATGGGCAATGCGCCGTCATGTGCCGCGCATCGTTCTCGGGGGAGGAGGGTTTTGAAACCCTGGACCCTAGCGAGCTCAGCGCAGTCCCTCTCCCTGTTCTTCACAGCTCGAGGAGGTATTCGGCGTGTTGAGGACGCCTGGCGCAGCCAGCTATCTATTTGCTGTCGAAAACACGGTGTTCGGCCTCTGAGCGAGGATGCTGCAGCCTTCGGCGTCCTCATGGCAGGCCGCCCTGCCATTCGTCGACTCATTAGAGGGTCTAGGGCCCTACACACAGCTATTGGCCGTGGCGGGCGCCCTGTCCCTGCTGCTGCTGCTGGCGTACCTCGTGAGCCTTCTGCAGAAGCCCGTCGCATCTGTGTCTGGTGAGGCTCAGCCGTCGGAGAATGGCGAGGAGAAGGAGGGGGGAGCGAGCCCGAGCATCAGGGCAGCGCCGATTGGCCGAATGCTCAAGAACATGTCGGCTCAGAGCCTGCAGGCGCTCTTCTACCGCTCGCTTTCTGCGAACAGGGGCATGGCCGACACAAGTAAGTAAACCACATGTCGACGGATGCATCGAGGGAGGGAGGGATGGCACCGTGCTGTGCCCACCAGCGTTGATTGATTGACTAATCTGTGCTGTTTATGTGTCCTATATGTATCTCCTGCAACGATCTTTGGTCAGGTTCTTCGCCTCGCGAGACGAGATCTGAGTGTCCGTCGCCCTACCCCTCTCTGCCACGGCACCGCAACCAGCGGCCCCCACAAAACGGAGCCGACAGATATGACATACTCAACAAGTAACTAATATGCATCACACTCACACACACACACACAGAAAGGGCCGCATCGCCTCCCCTCCCCACCTGCCCGTCTGTGTGTCTGTGCACACGTGTGTGGGTCTGTCTGTCTGTCTGTCTGTCAGGTATCACCACTACTTGTACTTCTACCCCCGTGCTTTATCAGCGCCATTCTTCAACCCCCTTCTGCATCTGCAGCCCCCTATAGGCGGCCGCTTCTCTTTGCTGGGTCGGCGGGAGTCCCAGCAGCAGCCTTTGCAGGGGCTGGGCCCCATGCACCCACAGTATCTGCTCTCGGACCGAGGCAGCTGGCTTTACACCAGGAGGTGGCTGCACAACGCCGCCGACCCCACACACAAGACCAAGGCCATCATATTCCTCGCACACGGATGGGGTAACACAGACGCACTCATGGACGGACATTTTCTCTCCATATGATATCATGTGTTTTGCTGTGTGGCGTGTGGTGTGGTGTGTTGTGTTACGTTGCCCTCTCTCCCCTTTCGTCCCCCCGTAGGTGAGCATGGGTCTCGTTACGAGCATGTGTGTCAGGAGCTGGCCCGTCGGGGGTTTGACGTGTACAACATGGACTTCGAGGCACACGGCCAGTCGGAGCAGCCACACGGATGTATGGCATACTTCAAGGCCTTCTCAGACCATGTCAACGACATGCACAAATTCGTCCACACCGGTCAGTCAGTGCACTGCACTGGGCGCAGCAAGGGAGGGATGGCAGAATGCTGCAAGTGTGTGTGCGTGTGGTTGTAGTCATGTCGAATCGTCCTGACGCGCCTTTTGTGCCCAAGTACATTGTCGGCCACAGTATGGGCTCACTCGTCTCCTTCCACCTATGCCTCCAGGTAGCTACACAGAGTACACACACTCGTGTATGTGTTGATCCATCCATCCATCCCTGGGTGTGTGTGTGTGTGTGCAGCATCCCCGTCTGTTTGACGGTTTGGTGATGCTGTCTCCGTTCATCCAGGGCCCCCCAGACGTGGAGATCATCCGCAACTCACCCACACTCAGGACACTCGCCAAACTGCTGTCCGACTACATGCCCAAGGTAGGTAGGGGACCACAACCACACACATCACACACAGCCGGAATGGAATGGAATGCAGATCGGATTCCCTCTTTGTGGTGTGCTGTGTGTGTTCATTGATATTATACGTGTCAGTCTTGGTATAGGAAGGGCGACGTGTCTGTGGTGTCTCGTGTGAGCTCTGTGGTGGCGAGCTACATGAAGGATCCCCTGCTCTACAGGGGCGGCGTGCCCTTCCGGGTTGGCTGGGAATTGCTCGAAGCTGGCTCTAAAGCTAAGGCTCAGGCGCACGTAAGTCTCACACACACAGGTCAGCACACACAGGACAGGGAAGGGCCTGCATATCTGTGTGTGTGTGTGTGTGTGTGGAATCACTCAGGAGTTGCGTGTGCCGGTGTTTTTGTGTCACGGCGAGATGGACAAGCTGGCCTACCCCGAGGGCACCATGTGGATGCTCCAGGCCCTCACAGGCACTCAAGACAAGACTCTCAAAATCATCCCACAAGCCTACCACGGTATATACACGCAAATGAGCGCACCGCACCCAGCCCAGCCACCCACCACAGACAGACACCTCATTGAGGTGTGCGTGTGTATTAATGTCTGTCGTCATGTGATTGATCAGAGTTGCTGCACGAGGTCGAGTGGCGTGACGTGTTGGGCGACATCATCACCTGGATCCAGGTCCGCATCCACAGACACTCACCGCCCATGCGCCCGCAGCAGCCACACCCCCACACCCTTGCTACTCAACCTGACGACCAAGACCAGCAACAAGACCCATCAGCACCACCACCGGAACCACGAGGCCTCTCCCCACAAGCGTCCTTATCAGGGGAGGACGTCAAGTCGTCGGCCGCCATTGCCGCATCGAGTGAGCAGCCGAGGACGTCTGTGTCGACACCGGAGGCATCGCCAGTGGACCGCGAATGAAGGAGGCATGGCATGCAGGGCAGGAGGGAGGGGAGGGAGCATGTGCAGCGCAGAGGGAGGGAAGAGGCCCGTCTCCCTGCCTGCCTGTGTGTCCGGCCCGCCTCACAAAACGGGTGTGGGCGGGCGGCCGATGTGGGCGGCGGAAGGGCAGGTCGATGATTCCCTCAGTGCACAGGGCAGAGAGGAGAATGTTGTGGGTTTGGGCTTGGTTTTGGCTGGCTGCCTGGCTGGCTGGCTGGCTGGCCCAGGGAACAAGGCCTATTTGTTCGTGGGGCGGTGGGGGAGAGGTGCGTGGTGCCGTTTACGTAGCAGGTACATACTTATATGATGCATTCTTGCAGGTAGCCGTGGCGTCTGTCCGCACGAGTGTGTGTGTGCGTACGTCAGTGTGTGTGTGTGTGGTGCGGTAGAGTTTCTCACAGGTGCCTCATGCGCTCGCTGCCATTCAGATAGACAGAGACCCAGTCGATGTGATGTATGTGACACTGACATGGGGTCGAACACACGCGTACACACAGCCATGGATGGATGGATGGATGCCTGCATAAAGTCACGAAAACAATCGCTGCCACCCCTCACACACACACGATATCGACAAATAGCAGACAGACAGAGAGAGAGCGAGACAAAAGGAACAAATCGCCCATCCGTCACCTCAGCAGCCAATTAAAGGAAGGGCGCCCATCCCCCACCCCTTTAGTCAGACCTGTGTCTAGTATCACGACACGCCTGCCCCTCCCCCCCTACACACATCTACATAGCTGCATCTCACAGCTGGTTGTAGGGCTCCTCAAACCAATATATCAAAGCTGGCAGACAGACAGACAGACAACACGAAACACAACATGAGCGCGTTTGGTGGTGTGGTGTGGTGTGCGTGTGGTGTCCTAATTAGTGTACCAATGGCGACGTATGCGGTGAGGAGCATGGAGCCCTCCAGCCAATTCGAATGCCCGTCTTGCAACACACTGACACACGGACGGGATACCAACGCACGGAGAGGCATTAATTGTCACACGTGCGGCACACATGTCTGTCTGTCTGTCTCTCACCCCGTGACGACGAGCGTCGACAGCAGCAGCATCGTCACCTACACACACGACACAAGGGAACACAGTGGCCGCACCTGGGGGAGTGAGGTTCAGTTGTTTTGATGTATCAGCCTACCTGAAATGGGTGGAAGTTGAGTGTCATGGGCACGTTGAGGCACCACCCCATCAGCACCGCCAACGGAGTCACAAACAACGCCATCTGACACGATGAACCTGACAGACAAATGCGCCCACACACACACATATGAGGCCTTGTGGGTGTTTGTGGTGGCTGGTCGGGCACCCACCCACTCACTTACCGACAGCTACGCCGAGTGAGAGGTCCATTTTGTTCCGCATGGCCACAGATATGGCCGTGTAGTGCTCGGCAGCATTGCCTGACAACACACACACATCCACATATATACGTCTGAGTCAGTGTCATCCAGCCAGTGGTGTGTGTACACCGACCGATGATGGGCAGCAGGATGATACCGATGAACTCGCGACTCAAGTTACACTGATCCACCACACCTGCATGCTCACGCACAAAGCCATCAATCGCCGTCTCTCTCTCTCTGTGTGTGTGTGTGTGTGTGTTGTACCTACCTTGTATAGAGTCGATGAGGAACTCTGAGCACACGGCTGTGATGACGGTGGCGACGGCCAGGAGCATCGTCGCCCCGGGGCAGGGCATCATCACCTCATCCTCCTCTTCCTCCCCCTCACCAGCGTCATCCGCCTCCTCTACCACATCGCCATTCTGCTGCTGGCCATTGGGGACCACCACACCATCCTGCTGCGGCCGCTGCTGCTGCTGCAGCTGTGGCGGTAGGATGGCTTTGTTGTTGTCTGCCGCCTGGTCGTCCTCCGCGAACATGAATGAGTGTGTGCTGAGCTGGAAATACAAATACTGGGCGTAGAGCGCTGCCAGAAGAATCGACACACCCCTGCACAGCAAACCATAGACGAACAGACGAACAGACAGACAGACAGAAAGGAAGGAGCCAAGAGAGAAGGAAGATGTATGTGAGGTGAGCCACCAGTGTGCGTGCCCTACCCTGCCCTGCCAGCCCAGCGGGTACATCCCACTAGCATGTGTGTGCCTACCTACCTACCTTGATATAGCGAGTTCTGCGTCGACCTCCGACGAGAGAATGTAGGCGTACATGGTTGGGAGGACCAGACACAGACAGCTGAGCGTCAGCAGCGACGTGTTGGTCACTGCACCCAACGCACTGTACTCCTGCAACTGAATGAACCAATCACATCCACACACACACACACAAAACAAACAAACCACACGTGCGTCCATCAGTGCACTGAGAGGCAGACAGACCATCGCCAGCTCGGCTCGGTTAGACTAGCTAGCTGACTTTGAAGTAGTATCCGCCGGCGAAGAATGCGGTGCCCATGACGAGTAGGAGGTTGGAGAGGATGGACCCCACGAGGGTGCACTGGACGACCAGCACTTGGTTGTGGTACAGACCCCAGAAGCACAGCAGCGCCTCTATCACATTGCCAAACGACGCGTTGAGCAGCCCGCCAACTATCTGACCTGAACCAACCAACAGACCAATGGTTAAAGCAAGCAAAGCAAGCCATCAAGGAACAACAGCTTCCTTCCCTCCCTCCCTCTGGATGAGTGAGTCACTGCACTGACTGACTGACTGACTGACCCGTGTGGGCGGCCAGATCTTCTGTGGACTGACCAATCAGCCTGCACACACAGCAAGCCACACACACGCATTTTCCAATTCTCCCTCCATCCCACGTGCTGTGCTGTGCCGGGTGTTCTGACCGCTTCTCTTCCTCCCTCCCTCGCTCCCCAAGTGATTGAGATGCATACATACAGTAAGTACCTACCAAGCGAGTGGGATGATGGCGATGAAGTTGAATAGGAAAGTGAGTTCAGCGCCCCAGTCCTGGATGCCGCAGACGATGCCGATGGGCACAAACACCAGCAGACACGCCAGGATCAAGTTGCTCCTCAGCAGCTTCACGAAACCCTCCAAGTTGGCGCGGAACGACATGTCACAAAAGTGCGCCCTCTCGGCCTCCGCCCTCTCGTACGCCGTGGCGTGATGGTGGTCCTCGTGTGGTGCATGTGCCGCCCCTCCCCCAGCCCCTCCCATCTGGCGCATCTCAATGTCCCCTGCCGCATGTGCTCCATGCGATGGATGGTTGCCATCTTCGCGCTGCAGAGAGATTGGGGGCGTCGGGTCCGACAGCAAGGCCCTGCTCTCGTCCGCCATGGTCCGCAAGCACGGCGAGCTTTTTCAACGGTCAACGCTTCTGCACACGATTCGGAGATTTGATGCGGAGCCTCTTGGCCGCTGCCTTGCTCTCAGTATGGTGCTGGGCGCCCCTGCCTATCCGGGCCTACAAGGGTACGCACACAGACAAAAGTTCTGCCCTTCGAATAGCTCCTGTTGCGGCTGGTAGGTGCCCGCATTCCATCGGTGAAAAGGGTGCCACACAACGCGACGGAGGCAAGGGCCAGGCGGCCTATCGACCTCACACAACTGGCAGGGTGGGCGCTGCAGCACACACGAGGTAATTTTGTTTGCATCTGTCTGTCTTGTCTGGTGTGGTGCATCCATCTGGGGGGGAAACTGTCATTAACCGTAACACTCGTCTGTGTGTCCGTGATACTCATACAAATACAGTCCCATCAGCACGCAGAGTCAAACAGGCTCAAGGGGAGGAGGGATCAATCCCCGCCCCATCAGCACACCCCAGTCCCGCAAACCCTCCCCTCCCTCCCCCACGCAGACAGAAGCTAGTCGCACGCGCGAGGGCGATAGACAAGCGAGAGCGAATCCATCCAGACACATGACTGAACCCCCGACCCTTCCACCCCTCCTTCTCCAACAGCGCATGAGCCATGTGGGCGATGAACACGTTGG